ATATTGCTACCAACCAATGTTGCTTTTAAATCAAGTGATTGTAGCCATTTGTTGGCATTGTAAGAAAGATGCTGCATCTGTTTTATTTTGACCATTCTTCTATTGTAATTATTAATTTTGTATCAGAATGAATGTTTGTGTTGAATGTTCATGACAATGTGAACTCCAGCTGTATTCGAAAAGCTGAATAGGCTAGCCACATGTACGCAGTGCGTACCTATTTTTATACTATTTTTAATACTTTCGTAACATTATGTTTCATACTACACTCTACAGCTTCACCTTTCCACAGCTACTAACTATAAGGGACTGTTGTTGGATAAATTTTATATTGATATGACACCAATATGCTTCTCATAAAGTATTTATCTATTATAAAACTACGTTGTGTAGTTTAAGTTATAACCTTTTACCTTGAAATTGTATTTGGCTCGTTTAGATTCAGATTCAGTATATCATGATCGTGCACGGGAATTTAACGATCCAAATTTCAAATTTCCAGAGTCGTGCACCAAGAAAAATGCATTAACTAAACTAGCAAGAATGTCCAGAGTTAGACACAATGCAAAATCCATAGAAAACAGGTACAATTCGTTGAAAATTTTAACGAAATTGTTTGACTGAATATTTTGCCCACTTGCTGACGTTGCTGTTTCCATGTCGAAATTCCTTGTAAAATTGTTCAATTTTCCCGAATTTTCCTCAAAATGCAGGGTTATTTATGGATAATTTGGGTAAAATTGTCAGGAGCCTTATGGATAATTTGGGTGAAAATTAGGCAGCTCATTAATATTCTATTTTGTGGCTATCGACGATTGGAGATCCACTGTCCGTGATCCGTGACAAATGCAAGCCGAAACCTATACTCGTCTGGGGCACAGGTTCCCCAGCGAGTAATTATCGTTTTAAGGCCATGTTACACGGTGCAATTTTTCTTGCAACTTGCAATGCAATTCTACTCTTGAGGGAGGTTAATTGGTGAAGTCAGTGAAGAATGTTCAATATGTTGAGAAAACATCAGCGGAGTCACAGAGTAGAGACATACAGAGACGTAACTAGTGTACCCATTTTTTTGTGCGCATGCTCGGCAAGTTACTAGATGCATGCATCTGATTGGATGACGACCTGATGACGACTCACTTTAAACTTGCTGAGCACACGCAGTTGATCATTTTTCGCCAGGTCGCCTGAAAAAAGTGGGTACATGATCCGCAGTATTTACGACGGTCAGTTACGTCTCTGTATGTCTCTACTCTGCGGCGGAGTGTAATGAAGACTCGTATTTGGCAATTTTACATCTCTCAAGAGTAGAATTGCGTTGCAAGTTGCAAGAAAAATTGCACTGTGTAACATGGCCTTTAGACCGGGAGGCGTGTGAACATTTCTTGAAAAATTGTCGAATACCGAAATTAAGACACAAGAGTTAATTAAGCAAACTATCAAAGAGTTAAGCATTTGCACGCTCTTAAATTGCAGAGTAAATCATTACCATTAAATATAGACATATAGTTAACGCAAAAATTATACATGCCCCGCAGTCACCTTTGGTTCATTTTCATGCATAATACTACTTCTTGCACATGTAGACTGTAATTATTTCTAGTTTTTAGGTTGTGACATTCATTATTTCCACTTGCGTTTTCACGAGAAAGGCAAAACAACGAAGTCGCTCCTTGACCTTGTCGCTTCCATTTTGAGTTTTTGACAACCTTCGGAATACTGGACACCATGCACGTTCGCAAGGCAAATTTCAATGTAACCTGAGTATCATGCTCTATTTTACAAATAGAGCCTGACACAAAACTTAACCTGATCGCTTTCCACCCACAGCAAAGTTTATATTTAGTATAAAATCAAAATGTCGCAGGAGAAATTTAAATTTCACACGACAACAACAATCTAATTATAGCATAGGCAGCCCACTAAACGGCTGAATTTAAATTAAAACTGCAATGAACTTATAAAATTAACAAAAATAATCACAAATTAGCGAAATATATTGCAAATGTAGCTTATATTAAATCGCCACCCGATTGCTCTCTCCACCGCAGAGGTTTCAGTGACTACAATGAGCTTTACATGGAGCTTATACAGTATTTATCAACAAACTGACGTATAATTATAAAGTAGGCTATATATTAAGTATACTTTATAACTATACCTCAGTTAGTCGATAGTGCAATCTGATGGCGATTTAATGTAAGCTACATTTGCAATATATTTCGCTAATTTGCGATTATTTTCTAATTTGCGATTATTTTCTAATTTTACTGCAGTTTTAATTTAAATTCAGCCGTTTAGTGGGCCGGCTATAATTGTAGCTGTGATCACAGGCGGCCCAATCTCTGAATGTCCTATCTATTTTGAATATTTAACCGTTATAATATTTTAAAATAACAAAATAATTCAAAAAATATTAACAATATATGTAAAAAATATATCTGACTTGTTAATAGAATCCATTTGTTGTGTTTCTGAACGGTCGTCAGTACTATGGCACTGGACGACATGGCCGTATAGCAGCCTAGACCTAGGCCTTTTATTTTTATTGATATTTTTTTAATATTCAGCGCTTTTTCACATGAAAAGACTGGGACTAGGTGATTTGGGGGCGGGGCGGAGGAAAGATACAAGCCTGACGCAAGCGAAAGAATAGAAGGCCTAGTGGATTTCCCAACAACAAGGCCAAAACTGCCCTGAAACTGCCCTGATTGCGAAATGCCCAATTGTTGCGTTCTCAAACAGAATTATTTATTTATTTATTTTATTTATTATTTTTTTCCCCTATGTACAGATTTTAATAATTACAAAACAACTTTCTTCTAATGATATTGGGCTAGGGACCTACTAGAAACCTTTACAGGCTTTTTGGTTTAGGCCCCTAGTTGTAGTTGTGGTTCATAATGAGGTTAATTAATATATTTACAGTTAAAGATAATGAAAAAAGTAATTTTTAGAATATATGCTATTTACAAAAGAAGGATGATAAAGCAGGAGTACTACAATAAAAGATTTATGTTAATATAATCAATAAAATCTGAAGACCGTATAATTTTATACATGATTTGCGACTTAACAGCGAATTTAAACCGATACAGGTAAAATAAACTCATTTATAGTATAACTTACTATTTTTATTTGTATACACGTCTAGAAAATCGGGTTTTTTATCATAACGTCTGAAGCAACACTATTATTTAATGTTGACAAGGTGAAGCGAAAGCACAAAATAATAATTCTTTTATTCGCAAGACAATCTACTGTTTTGCTTTGAATAACTATATTTGCGAATTGGGAATGAGGAATTTGAAATTATTGTTCAAATATTACGGATATACCATTTGTAAACAATGTACGTTTTTATATACAGTACTGTACGGGCTAATAATATATGTATCCGTTTTATTTTTGATAAATTATAATTGTATGTGTGTTTGTATATTTTACAAACACAAGACTGCTTCTTGCCAAAATTGAGAAAATATATATTAATGTAGTTGTGTATAAGACAAAATTTCATGAAAGATTCTACTTTTGGTATATATTTTGACTCATTTTGTTCTTTCGCTACACCTTGTCAACATATTAAATAATAGTGTTGCTTCGAACTTTATGATAAAAAACCGATTTTCTAGCCGTGTATACAAATAAAAATAGTAAGTTTATACTATAAATGAGTTTATTTTACCTGTATCGGTTTAAATTCGCCGTTAAGTTGCAAATAATTCTGTTTGAGAACGCGATAATTGGGCATTTCGCAACCAGGGCAGTTTCAGGGCAGTTTTGGCCTTGTTGTTGGGAAATCCACTAGGCCTTCTAGGCTTGCTTCCTCCGCCCCGCCCCCAAATCACCTAGTCCCAGTCTTTTCATGTGAAAAAGCGCTGAATATGAAAAGAATATAAATAAGACTCGAAGGCCTAGGTCTAGGCTGGCCGTATAGGACATAAATAACTACAAGGCTAGCCACTTATTTGATATACTCTCCGACATCGAGTCCAATATCTCGCCTCAGAATCGTCGCAAAGCAATAAATTTCACATCGTCTAATAGCACGAACATTCCTCTTTCGAAAGAACTTGGTTTCTTCACCATTGCGGCAATTCCCGCGATACACGACGAACTTTGTTTGCCAAAAGTCCAAATTTCCATTTTCGAAAGAGGCGCTAACCGCATGATCGTCGCCACGAGAAGCGGCTCAGCAACCTGGCCTCCTCGTTTGAAAACATTCCATCAGGGGGGGAGGAGATGGACTGGAATGAGGGGGCTTTCAAAGCAACACGATAAAACACACGATATAAATAGAAATTATTACTTTATCATGCTGTATTCGACAATAAACAAGTATTAAACATTTATATCGTGTGTTTTATCGTGTTGCTTTGAAAGCCCCCTCATTCCAGTCCAGCTCCCCCCCCCCTGATGGAATGTTTTCAAACGAGGAGGCCAGGTTGCTGAGCAGCTCTCGTGGCGACGATCATGGGGTTAGCGCGTCTGTCGAAAATGGAAATTTGAACTTTTGACAAACAAAGTTCGTCGTGTGTCGCGGGAAATGCCGCAATGGTGAAGAAACCAAGTTCTTTCGAAAGAGGAACGTTCGTGCTATTAGACGATGTGAAATTTATTGCTCTGCGACGATTCTGAGGCGAGATATTGGACTCGATGTCGGAGGGTATATCAGATAAGTGGCTAGCCTTGTAGTTATTTATGTCCTAGTATGGCCATGTCGTTCAGTGCCAGTACTGACGACCGTTCAAGTACGACGAAAACGTAAAGCAATCGCATCAACTAGACTCAGAAACACAACAAATGGATTCTATTAACAAGTGAGATATATTTTTTACATATATTGTTAATATTTTTTTAATTATTTTGTTATTTTAAAATATTATAACGGTTAAATATTCAAAATATATAGGACGTTCAGAGATTGGGCCGCCTGTGAATAGCCTAGTAAGCCTCAACCTCGTTCCCAGGCTCTTTGCTCTTGGGAAGCAGTAAGCCTACCTATGAACCATGATAATGACCAAAGTTTGTGAGTCCTCTTCAGCATCCCAAGAACCTAAAAGTGGATACAAAAACTGAATATATCGTGCTAACTAAGGAGCTCAATTAAACTGTAGATTACTCACCCATTTTCGAGAAATTCGCCGTGTGAAGTGGAGATGTTTGCGGACTCAAAGACCAAAAACGACAAAATGGTCGCCATCTTGGTTCTGTCCGATGTGCGAGCCAGCAATATAACTTTAAAGTACGTGATGTAACCACTGGATGTAACGTTGGTGTCATTGACATAACTGAGTGTCCCGGACCTTCATTTTTTTTCATTTTGTTTTTATTTTACGCCCATAAATGTATTTTAAGGTTGCTCGATACTGCTTTCAAAACTTCCGGTGTAAAATAGTTTGACAGTTTTGGGGCTTGACAGTTGGGGGGCTTATATTCGGGGGGGGGGGCTTATAGTCGGAGGTTTACGGTATTTTATGTCATTTAGAGACAATAAAAAACCAAAACATTTTCGGAGGTACTACGGAGAGAACAAGAGGTTCCAGAGAAACTCTAGCTGTTTAACCCAGTCAAACTGAAGCCAGGGTTCGTAAAAGTCAGGAAGAGTTAAATTCAAATGCTTTTCAAGAATCAAGGCCATGTATCAAGAAAGTTATTATTCAAGCCCTAAAAGCTGAAAAGGCGTTAGAAATCAGTAAAAAGTGACGTTAAACTGTTCAAACGGCAACTTTAATAAATTTCAAACAGCCTTGCCGGCCTTTGTATTAAAGACATGAACAAAATCAATTTACAAAATGTCCAATTCTTAATGTCAAACAATTTCAGAAAATATCCACTAAAGCAACTGAAGAACAATTTAAGGACAGTCAAGCACTTCTTTATAAACTCAATGACTTAATATTTAATTAGTTTCCAACTGTATGGATATATTGTTCAGTTGACAGTTGCTCAAGTTTCGTGTAATATATGCAACGCATGGTTATATGTTAAATATGCACTCTATAATCTATGGAAACATTAAAAAGAAATAGTGCATGTATTTCACATACAACAATTCTTCCGTCAATTGTCTTTCCATTATAGTTTTGCGCCCTGATCATCACATTTACATAATACTTCGGCGGATCATTAAAAATCCCGGCAGGGGGGTACAAAAAGTTTTGGGCATAATTTTTTTCAGCCTATTTGTCTCTGCAGGATTTTTTTAAACGTTCAATCTCTGCAAATTTTTTTTTCAAAACTGCATTTTGCTCTACCAATTACGTTTTTAATGAAGTGGCATATTTCCCACATGACGAAGAAAGATGCAATAAGCGTAATTAATAGTAATAGTTCGAAACGTCGAGAAATTCTGTCTATATTTTTTAGATCAGCGTGAACTACAACGCCAAGAGTTAACTTGTGTCTTATTTAATACTTGCATGTATCATATTGTTTTGTATTCAAATATTTTTTCAATTTAGATAACAGCTCAATTGTACAAAATAGACTTTGAAATTGGAAACTCTGTGCCTCCCAAATCCTGTTCTCAGATGCATTTTAATAGTAATATAAATGCTTTAATTCCTTTAACTCCGTAGATATTAGTATATTCTCATTAATAAACAATGTTTTTCTGTATAAAGTGATATTGGCAGGACCGCCGGAAACTTGATAAACTTGTGGAGGGGAAGGGGTCGGGAATTCCACGAGGCGCCACCATGGTTGGCGCCGAGTTGGAGAATTTTGAAAATTTGGAGTCATTCCGGGGCCGAGTCATTTTTCTTTGCACGTTTTTTTGGGGAGAATTGTCATCCCCCCTCCCGGGATTTCTAATCGTGACCAATCGTCCACCCCTAACGAGAACACGAGCTTACGAATAGCTTTGCTAAATAGTGCTTCCCAAAAATTAATCCTCTTTTAGTATGTATGACAATCGCATGAGTTCATTTTAGAATATGTACAATAAGACTGCAGTGCGGGCAGTTCACAGAGAAAAACGGAAACACCACATCAGCCTTCACATGAAACGCTTTCCTAGACTTCGGCGTAGCAACCAAACCTTTTCTTCCAGGCAAAATTTCTAAAGATTTTTTCTCCATATCAAGATTCAAAACGACATTGGTAATTTTTTTCGCCCGTCCAGAGTAAACCCAGTTCTTCGTAACTTCATGCACGATACTGGCCTCGGAATAATCATCACAAGCTTCAATGACACCAACTCCAAATGTTGGACCTTCTGCATCGTGAAAACACTCTTCTGCGCCTTCTACCACATGGCTGACTTCGACCTTCCAGTGATGTGTTCCTGAAATCAAGAGTTCCTAGTTGAATAGTAGTTAACTCCAAAATACGCGATTTTGATTCGTTAATTTTCGCACTAATTTTAACTAACTTTAACCACCTTTTTAATCGGCCACAAGATGGGAAGTTCTTGCAACTGTGGCAATTGCCCCCACCCCCCGTGTTTCAAAGGATGCAATGTAGAAACTATCCTTAAAATGTTTTACAATACCTGTCGTCAAAAGTGTATCCCCCAGCCTGAAACAATACTTCCCCACATAACCCTCTCCTGACATGCAGTTGACCATTTGCCCGTTCATTCGTACTAAATTCCCGCTGCCATGAACATCGCTTAGCTCCCATTTCACTTCTGCTTCAAGAGAACAAGTTGGGGCCACAACGCCATCGATCTTCGCTTCAAACTGGAGGGTGCCTAGCTCATTTACCACAAATGAAATCTCATGAGTGCCATCTTGGTTTTCCGATATTTCGGTATCTTGTACCTGCATACCAGTGAATGTCGGCTGAATTAGATCTTTCTCACAACCCGAGCCTATAATCCAACCGTCCTTGTCCTTGCATGTTATAACAATCACCGATTTCTTGCCGACTTTAAGCGTCGGATCTAGAAACTTCGCTTCGCACTTTTCAGGGCAGACAGCTACCTCTTCGACAGAACATATGTCTCTGATTAACTGTAGACATAACTCAATTGAAGATTCGCTTTTCAAAAATCGAACCGGGTTTCCTACTTTGGGGGTGAATTCATCTTCCATGTTTTTTAAGTTAACCAGATACTGTGTGATGGTTGGCTTTATGTTCAAAAGTTGAACGTCGTTTCCGTTTTCAAGGGTACGCTTTGCAAAATTCGCACCATGGCACATGGATAGCATGAGGTCCAGTATCTTCTTCGGTGCTTCGACTTGATTCCTTCGGTATTCTGCAGTCGATGCGGTCAATGCTAGCATCTTTTGCTTTTCAGCATCAATTTTCGCTTGCAGTTGTGCGAAAAACGCTTCAATCTGGGTCTTGCACGCCTCTTCTCTGGCAGTTATATCTTGGCTTTCTGCTACAGCTACCTCCATTCCTGCAGAGATTATTTCCACCCTTTCGTTAACTTTTTCCAAAAGGTTCTCAACTTCTTCTTTAGCATTCAAGGCGCTTTCTTCCAGCGAAAGGAGGTTGTGTTGTTTGTGGTCAAGGATAGTACAAGATACACAAGTCGTTTCCTTACACGTGTCGCAGTAATATTTAATGACTTCATGATGTTTACTACACTTCACAGCCCTCGCGTTCTCCGCCGGTTCGTTGTTTTTCAATTCGTCTTTCGACTGTAGAACGTGGTTCTTCGTATTGCGTGATCGTTGGTGAGACTCGACACATGCAGCGCACAGGAATTGCAAGCAATCTTTGCAGCGTTTTTCCACAGGCTCCTCGGGTTTTTCGCAGTTGTCGCATAACAAAACTGGAGCATCGTCGTTGTCGCTCAAACTCAGTGTTGCTAAAACGTTGTTGGCGAAGAAATTTGTTGGTAGGATGGAAAGATCAGGTGGATTACCGATCTGCTAAAATGAATCAATGTTATACAGACTTATAATGACAAGATTGGAACAGTAAGCAAAAATATAGCCTGATTGACAATCAGTTAAGGTAGTGGCTACAATAAGCTGCTATGGGTTTATTTGAATTACACGAAAAAGATATTCATAATGCAGGGTCCAGTGAAGAAAGCATTCTACAACAAGCTGCAGTGTCTGAACTATCTGAAAAACATATTCCAAACGTGGAGGTGCAGTGTAGGTTATAGTATTCTACAATAAGCTGTAGTGGTTTGTGTCTGAACTACCTGAAAAAAGATATCTCTAACGTGATGGTCCAGTTCTTTTCATCACACATATAGTGTTTTTTCTTATAAAAATATGATAAAACACAACCACAAGTGTTTTGAATAGCTTCAAACACGACTACAATGGATACTGTCTCATTAATATCTTATACATAAAGAATACTAATGGAACTAATGTAAAATGCGGATAATATAGCCCTGCGAAGTTTGCCGTTTTTTAGTCATTTTGTATTACGCACGGGAAATTGATACCTTTTTTCAGAAAGCGGTACCAATTTCCCGTGCGTAATACAGATCAAGAATACTAATGAAGATGAGTTTTATCAGGTATAATTACAAAGCTTCTTCACGTGACATAAATTATTAATAAGTTTTTAAAATATATGCCGCGTTTACATATGAAACTACAGCAAACTTTTTGTTTCCATGAACAACCATCTGTCATCTCTCTTAAAGAAGACCCTGACTGAAACAGAGCAATGGTCAGAAAATGATCTCACCTTCACTGGAGCACGACATTCTGGGCACTCCAAGCCACATTCACGCTCGGAAAGTTTCACGATACATTCATAACAATATGAGTGAAGACATGGAAATACTTTGGGGTTGTTTAGCAATTCATGACACACAGCACACGTGACTAGTTCTTCCAATTTTTCAATGGTCTTTGACCGAGGTTTTCTGGCTGGTTTTGATAACGACATTCTTTAAACTCCTAAAATATAGAATTTTACAAATCGATATACTTAAATTCACACTCACTCGCAGTTGGCTTTTAGTAAAGTGTTTTACATGGTGCTATAAATAATGACAATTTTTTTCAGATGTATTGACTGATGAGAGCAATGTTTGCAATGAAATGACATGAGCAGCAATGTTTTATCAGATATTAAAATACGAGGCGAAGCCGAGTATCGTTATAGCTACTCGTAGAAGTATGCATAAACACATTTTAGTTTTTTAGTTAATGCCTAAATGATTTGGTTGCAGTAAAATATAGAGATAAAGATATACGCCTGTATTCTAAAAGTTCACTCACACTCACTGAGTGGAGGTCCAATCTCGGCTTTCTTTGAGTGTCAGTGCTGTTTTTGAATAGCTGGAGGGTTAGTCTCGTACCTTACTGTGTGACCAGCCTAGTCCCAGGCTCTCTCTCTATTCGCTGCTTTGATATATTTAAATAAGTCTTAAAAGTTTTATGCCTGGGTGTGCTGTGCGGAACGCTTCGGCAAGAGAGCCTAGCAGATTTCGGTAAAATGGTCCCTGATTTCAAAAAAGTGGTCCCTGGCCTGGTTACCAAGCATACCATAATTGTAAATAGAAAATGTTATGGAAATTTCCTTTGCGTTTATAATTAAGTCATTAGTTTTGCTCTAATGCTGTCGGAACAATGAAATAGGCTACGTTTCTAAGGCTACTAAATCTGACTCGTGTTTACTAAAATATAAAGCCATAGTTGTGTATACCAGAATGGTCTAGTGTTGATCACAACTTGCGAGTATATAAATAAGATCAACGATTATACGACCATTGCTCAGACTCAATATCGTAAATTTGAATATAATTTTTTTAATTGAGCACATTTTTAATACAGTTTGAATTTGGTTATGTAGACATCGAACATGATCAACGAACATTGTCGTATTTACAAAATTATTTGTATATATAAATTTTCCGCCATATTAAAAATACTGAAATCTGCTAGGCGTTCTGAAGCACCTTTAGCGGTGACGTCACACCTAGGTCCCAGTCTCGTACTACATCCACGTTTTTTCTCGCGCTTGCTTCAGAACGACTGGGACTAGGCTGCTGTGTGACTATACTCACCTTCCAGCTATTCAAAAACAGCACTGACACACAAGAGAAGCTCAGACTGAATGGCTCCACTCTTTGAGTGTGAGTATGAGTGAGCTTTTAGAATAGGGCGATAAAGAGATCATCATGAGCATTCTAGAAATCTATTTAAAGATATGTGTATATTGATTATTTATTATTATTCATCGTTTATCATGTTAACTGTTACTATTATCAAACTTTTGCAAAAAACCTTTGCATTCTCGTATACAAAGTCTTTGTTTCGAATCCGTTTTTTTCTATTCCCAGTCCAGGTTTTCAAAAGTCAAGTCCAAGTTTTCTCAAAGACGAGTCCGGACTTTTTTCGAGTCTGGGATTTTCTCGAGTCCGGATTTTCTTATCGAGTCTGGGTCCGGGTCCGATCCGGGTTTTGAAGTATGCGGAAGCGATGTCAGCTTTAAAACGGTAAACAAGTACCAGACATATACGTACTCACATGATTTTTACCCAAAATATTACATATCATTATAAAGCAATGAAAGCATTGAAAGTGATATATTTGCAAGGTCACTAGGGCGTTAAAATACAGTGCCATTTTTTTCTGTGTTGGTGTAATGTACTGAGGTGAATATGATGCTTGTGATGTTACTCTGAGTGTATATCCACACCGGGCAAGCTTGAAAAATATGTCTGGCCACGGTGGGAATCGATGCTCCAAAGGTCGTAGGTTCGATTCCCACCGTGGCCAGGCATATTTTTCAAGCTTGCCCAGTGTGGATATACACTCAGAGTAAAGCCGGTTTTCCACTTCAACCTTATCGTAACGTACCGTAGCATTTTCTTTTGTGTGGAAGTCATTAGTTCTACTCTAGTGGTCAGAAAACAAAGAAATACGCTACGCTTCGCTACGATACGGTTGAAGTGGAAAACAGGCTTAACATCACAAGCAACAGTGCCATTTGTTATGCATGCACGTCTTCAATATCACAGTCTGCGCGCTATGCGGCAAAACAATAACAGCCCTAGTTCACTTTGCGGTTTCAGGAAAGTAGTAAACATACCTGATCGTGGTACATAGAGATGATCAACTTCATAAATGATCACATCCTAGGAACTGAGCAATTCAACTCATTTATTCGCCTACGGACACAATCCGAAAACAATCCTTCCGTCTATAAGCTGTTTGCCAGGCTGTTGGCTGGGGTTATAAACGCGGAAATGCCAAGACACACTATTTGAGTTCGTCGAAAAATATCTCACGTGGTGAAGTTTCAAATTTCAATAACATCTTTTGAAGAGGAATAAAAAAAGCACATAAATTTCAATTTTCAAACAGTTTTGCCGGCCTTTGTATTCTTCATGCCAAACAATTTCAGAAAATATCCACTATAGCAAGAACAATTTAAGGACTTTCAAGCACTTCTTTACAAACTCGAGGACTTTCAAGGCCTTGATTGCTTGAATTTTTGTTTCCAAATTCAAGGACTTTCAAGGATTTTCAAGTTTTGTACGAACCCCGGAAAGCACAATATTCTTCTCGCATGTAACGTCGAGTCACCGTTGCAATGCACACGCACAAAACATGAACTAACACTGTCCCCACCTCACAGGCATATAGACAAAATTTATCGTTTTAATTTTGAATGACATTAATATTTAATTTGTGTTCTAATGTATAGATATATTGTTCAGTTGCTCATATTTCGTGTAATATATGCAACACATGCATGTTATATGTTAATAACGCACTCTATAATCTATGGAATTACATTAAAAAGAAATAGTACATGTATTTCGCATACAACTATTCTTCCGTCAATTGTCTGTCTATAAGTCTATTATAGTTTTGCGCCCTGATCATCACCATTATACATATTTAATAAATACTCTAAGAGGCGGATCATTGGAAATGCCGGGAGGGGAGGGGGTACAAAAAGTTTTGGGCATGAATTTTTTTCAGACTATTTGTCTCTGCAGGGCTTTTTTTTAACGTTCAATATCTGCAAGAATTTTTTTCAAGACTGCATTTACACTGCCAACTAATGAAGTGGCATATTTTCCACATGACGAAGAATGATGCAATGACCGTAATTAATAGTAGTAGTTCGAAACGTCGAGAAATTTTGTCTATATTCTTTACCTACTGTTCAGAACTTCAGATCTGCACCGTGATCTACAACACCAAGAGCTAATCTGTGTCTTATTTTGTAATACTTGTATTATATTGTTCTGTACTCAAGTATTTTTCAATAGATAAAAGCTCAACATGGTTGGCGCCGACTTGATGGAGTCATTCCCATTCCCATTTTTTTATACGTTTTGGGGGTTTTGGGGCGGGGGAGGGACGTGGCCCTTACCGAGATTTCTAATGTCCGCCCCTACTAAACAGTGCTTTCAAAAAAGTAAACCTCCTTAAGTATGCATGACATGAAATTGCATGAGTTCATTTTCCGAAATGTACAACAAGACTGCAGTGCGGGCAATTCACGGCGAAAAATGGAAACACCACATCAGCATTCACATGAAACACTTTCCGTAGGAAACTAAACTTCGACGTAGCAACCAAACCTTTTCTACCAGGCAATATTTCCAAAGATTGTTTCCCCATATCAAGATTCAAAACGACATTGGTAATTTTTTCCGCCTGTCCAGAGTAAATCCAGTTCTTCGTAACTTCATGCACGATACTGGCTTCAGAATAATCATCGCCAGCTTCGACGACACCAACTCCAAATGTTGGACCCTCTGTATCGTGGAAACATTCTTCTGCGCCTTCTAATGCATAACTGACTTCGACTTTCCAGTGATGCGCCCCTGAAATCGAGAGTTCCTAGTGAAATAGTAGCTAAAATACGCGATTTTGATTGGCTAATTTTCGCACTAACTTTAATAAACTTTAACTATCTTTCTAGTCGGCCCCAAGATGGCAAATTCTTGCAGTTGGGACAACTCCCCCCTCCCCCCTCAGCCTTTCAAAAGATCGAATGTATAAACAATCCTTCAAATATTTCATAATACCTGACGTCATAGGTGTATCCCCCAACCTGAAACAATATTTCCCCACATCACCCTCTCCTGACAAGCAGTTGATCATAACCATCTGTCCGTTCATGCGTAAATACCCACTGCCATGAACAGCACTTAGCTCCCATTTCACTTCCGCTTCAAGAGAACAACTTGGAGCCGCAACGCCTTTGATCTTTGCTTCAAACTGGAGCGTCCCTAGCTCATTTACCAAAAATGAAATCTCATGGGTGCCATTTCGGTTCTCCGATATTTCAATATCTTCTACCTGTACACCAGTGAAAGTCGGCTGAATTAGATCTTTCTCACAACCCGAGGTTATAATCCAACCGTCCTTGTCCTTGCATGTTACAACAATCACCGATCTCTTGCCGACTTTAACCGTGGGATCTAGAAACTTCGCTTCGCACTTTTCAGGGCAGACAGCTACCTCTTCGACAGAACATATGTCTCTGATTAACCGTACACATAACTCAATTGAAGATTCGCTTTTCAAAAATTGAATCGGGTGTTCTACTTTGGGGATGACTTCATCTCCCATGTTTTTTAAGTTAACCAGATACTGTGTGATGGTTGGCTTTATGTTCAAAAGTTGAACGTCGTTTCCGTTTTCAAGGCTATGCTTTGCAAAATTCACACCATTTTGGCACATGGACAGCGCGAGGTCCAGCACCTTCTTCGGCGCTTCGACTTGATTATTTCGGTATTCTGCAGCCGATGCAGTCTTTGCTAACATCTTTTGCTTTTCGGCATCAATCTTCTCTTGCAGTTGTGTGAAAAACGCTTCAATCTGGGACTTGCACGCCTCTTCTCTGGCAGTTATATCTTGGCTTTGTGCTACAGCTACATCGATTTCTGCAGAGATTGTTTCCACTCTTTCGTTAACTTTTTTCAAAAGGTTCTCAACTTCGTCTTTGGCATCCAAGGTGCTTTTCTCCAGAGAAACGACGTTGTGTGGTTTATGCTCAAGCACAGTACAAGACATGCAGATTGTTTTCTGACACGTGTCGCAGTAAAATTTAATGAGTTCATGATGTTTACTACACTTCAGAGGCCTCGCATTCTCCGCCGGTTCGTTGTTTTTCAACTCGTCTTTCGACTGTAGAACATGGTTCTTCGTATCGCATGAAATTCGGTGAAATTCGGCACACGGTCCGCACAGGAATTGCAAGCAATCTTTGCAGCGTTTTTCCACAGGCTCCTCGGGTTCTTCGCAGTTGTCGCATAACAAAGCTGGAGCATCGTCGTTGTCGCCCAAACTCAGTGTCGCCAAAACGTTGTTGGCGAAGAAATTTGTCGGTAGGATGAAAGGTCAGGTGGATTACCAATCTGGTAAAATGAATCAATGTTATTATAACTTATAATGAAAAGATTGGTACATTGAACCACAAATTTTGCCTGATTGGGAATCATTTTGAGTAGTGTATACGATAAGCTGCTATGGGTTTATATTAATTGCACGAAAAAGATATTCATAATGCAGGATCCAGTGTAGAAAGTATTATATAACAAGTCGCAGTGTCTAGTATAGGTAGTATTCTACAATAAGCTGCAGTGATTTGTGTCTGAACTACTTGAAAAAAGATATCTCTAACGTCCAGTTCTTTTCATCACACGTGCATATAGCGTTTTCTTTCTGTAAAAAATAAATAAAATTAACGGTGGCGCAGTCTTTAGAGCAAGCGGGTTTCACGTGAAGAGTCTGTCTACGCTCTGCCAAAATTCATGGGTTTTCTCCGGGCTCTCTGGTTTCCTCCCACAGGAAAAGTTGACAGGGTGAATTAGGATAAATATGGTTAGAAAAGTGATGTATGTATATATATATATATATATATATATATATATATATATATATATATATATATATATATATATATATATATATATATATATATATATATATATATATATATATATATATATGTTTGT